ACCTATCGGATATCTATTGGTCCTCCCGATAGCTACCCGATTGGTCCCTGATATATGCCTGAAATATGGATTTCGACTTGTGTTAAGAAACATCCTACTAAACGAAAAATCCGCAAAGTGAGAATGCGTAATATCTAAATGATAAATATTTTTCGATTTGAATTTTTTTTTTTACTCATTGTAAGAGGTAACAAAATCCCTTACCCAAGTTGGTGCATATGTATTTGGATAATTCTTTTTTTTTTTGATTAATACCATCGATTAAACAAAGATAAGTAATATTTTTAAACAAATATAATTACCTTATAACTGCGAAGTAATAATTTTATTTCAAGATGGTATCCAAAAAAACTAACAAAGACCCTGATTCGCAACCGTTGGAGAAGCCTACCAAATCAAGACCACCTCTTGCACGATTGGTCAAGGACGATATTATAGCAATACTTTATACCAAAGAGCTAAAAGGTGGGTCTAAAAAAGTTTCGGAGTGATATAAAATTGGTACCCCAAAGTGCAATAAAATATGGAAGTCTGAGAATCCATACTCATATGCTAATTCAATCGAAGATACGAACTTGCCTGACTGGTACCCTAATAATATCAAAATCGAGAAAGCGGGAATATCATCCGAACTAATGTCTCAAGAAATAATTACACCCGAGGAGCCTGTTATCATCAAACCAGATCCTATCGAAGTAAAGAGGAAGAGAAAAACAACTGAGATTGAGAATATCGCGTGCTGAGTATTGAGATCTAAGCTAGGGAAACTGGTTATAGAGGAGTAGAGTGGGTAATTAGGTATTCACCAGTCTCCAGCTAATTTCGAATAAAGAATTTTTATTTGCTGTGTTGTATATATATCTGTGATAATTTTCCTTACTTTACTTTTGATCCTAGACATGGACACTAACTGATGTTAGCCAATTTTTTGACGAAAACTTCATGTAATTGTTGAAGAGAAACATTCGGAAATAATGGTAGTCCCTCACCTGTAAACTAAAATTTCTTTACTCCCCTATCAACGAATTTCTTCA